CAATTGATGACCTTACAATTCTGGAACCTCTTCTCGGCAGCATTATGTGTAGCACGGAGGCCTACATACCTCGTCGTCAGGCCTTTCTGACCCGGAAGGCCAGCGAAACTCGTCCCGTCTCGACCCCCATAGTGTTGAGTCTCTTAAGATGATGAAAAGCCGCCAGCTGTTGCCGCATCTCCTCCGTACCAATGTGTAGCTGCTCAAGGATCTCGGTAACAACTGCGTAGAGAATTTCTAAGCTACCGTCCTCAATCTTGACCGCAACGCCAACAGCTCCCTCAGCTCCAAATTGCTTGGTGTACTCTGACTCCCGAATTCCAACACCATAACAGCCATCTGCACCCACCTTACCAATAAGGGCTCCCGCAAAGGCTTCCATCAACAGCGTGCAGAAGCGTCCTTCACCGCCAACCATCTCGGGATGATTGGCCATTGCGTCGAAAATGCGAGCCATATGCCTTGTTCGCTGAGAAGGAGATGATTCGTCGTCGCCAATTGCGTCAGCAGCTGCCGCGAACCTCGCATACATGCGTCCCATGGAACTAAGCGACAATCCAGGTGCAGGGAGATTGCAGCCATCAATGCCCCATTTTACGTCTTGTTCCGAAAGGCCACTTAGTTCCTCCACGACTTCCTTCACCTTGAGCTGAATTGGGTGCTGAGGAAGATGGTAATCGGCAAACTCGGCTCCTAGAGCAAGACCACCGCCTAGCATGGCAGCATGCTTTCCAGAGCAGTTGTTGTAAACCCCCGTCGGCTCAAAGTCGGCCTTGATCCAATTGCGGTTGACATTTGGGCAGATTGAAGGGTGACCACCGCAACGCAGGTCGGATTCGGAAGCCCCGACTTTCTCTAGCATAGATCTGGCTCTGCTAATGTGCCTGTCCTCACTGTTGTGAGAAGCGCACATTAAGGCAATATCGGCCTCGTCGAAACCGAATTTTGAAAAGCCGGGCGTTTCCAGTACAGCAAGTGCTTGAGCTGGCTTTGCTGCGGATCGAGCCAGAGTCAATCGAGATGGGTTGCCAACAGCGTAGATAAGCTTGCCATCGGCGTCGACCACTGCGACATGAACACCGTGTCGGTTCTCGACGATACCGCCTCGATCAGTGACGACAAAGTCCTCCAGCTGCGTGGTTCGCGTCATTTTGAGAAGCTTGATCGGAATTCGAGACGGAGCAGGTGCTGCGATGCGCGAAATGTGAGTGTCCTTGACGAAGAGATCAACTGGCTTGTGACAGGAAACATACATGAGTCGTCGGACGTAGGCGCTTTGCCGAGAAAACGGGATGTGAAACAAAGTCCAGTGTCCGAGGCCCAAATGCCGTCCCGGCCGGTGATTTTAAAGACTTTGGTATCGGCCCGGACTCTTCGCGGTCCGGAGTTGCTGATGCGCAAGCGCAGATAGAGTCCACTCTACGGGGCTCTTCCGATGAAAGGGCGCGGTGTGACATGTTCAGTGCCGCTCGCTGCGGAGCAAGGTTCATGGTAGCCTGCATAAGCTTACACATCTCTTCCATAGGGCTTGCGCCAATGATACGGACAGCAGATTGAAGAGTCATCGAATGACTCTACCCCGAAAGTAACTCGCGATGATCTTTAAAAAAAAGGGCGCGACCAATCAATAATTATTAGCTGCATGTCCTGACGTCAATGAATTAAGAGCCATAGCGGCGCTGCTAACCAAGCTGGCAAATATCCTTCGACGCATCTGCGTCCTGCTGGCTTCGATTCATTTTGAGTCGTAGTTGTCAACAAGCCTAATTTTGTATCGCTGGTTCAGTTTATACTGGCTAACAACGGCAATCTATCGGTTTCTTTTGAATAGGACAATAGTAACTCCTAGGACATTCCCCCCCCCCCCCCGTGGACACGTTAGGTAGCTGATAGCAGAGACATGAGAACTCGAATCATCCGTACATTAGCTTGTGATTCATAGCAAGTCTAAGCAATATTCTTGTTTGGCTGTCAATGATGCTCCGCGGTCTGTGAGTACGCATACTTCCATTCGTTGAATATGATTTCCGGAAACTTTCCCTCACCAGTCATGTTTCCTATCATGCCACTGTGTTTACCGAAGACTTAATGTTGACGAATCTCAGGCTATCCCTCCCCGAAACTTCAATCGCTTTTATTGAATCAACGCAAGCTAGGTAGGGCGATGAAATTGGCGTTGAAGAGAGTGACCAAATTCCGGCAAAGCCCTTCGTGGGGACGTTTTCCCAACATCTTTGCAGGCGAAAGTTCTCCAGGCGGGATATCCCCATTGCAGTTCGGAATGTGCACTTTTGATGCTATACGATAGAGCATGAAGCCCAAGAGAAGAGCACGGTGTATTTCAACTAGCACCCACAGTGGCCGAATGCGGAATCGTTGAGGCTGGAGCAGGGCAGAGACTCTTTTGCAAGCTAGAGTGTGGACTGCTAAGAAGACAAACGTGTTTGCATCTTCCACTAGAATATTTTTTGAAATGTTTGGTTACCTTCCCTTTTCGGGGCAAACATCTAACATGCGATCCCGGATGCAGTTCCGGCAAGGGCTTCCCACGTGCCAAAATTGCGAAAACCTCGGATCCCGTCCCGTGTGTGTCACGATGTTTTTATGTGGTAAGTAGGTCTAATACTTATTAGACCTCATAACTCCCAGCGCCCAGTTCCACTGAAACGACCTGCAGATAAGCCGCTAAGATAGGTATGGTGCGGTGTGTTCTGCGCGCCCTTGGGGTCTTGGATCCAACCGGTCTAACGTCAGAACCCCGCAAGCGGGGCCGACGTCGGATTTGGGGGCACACTGTTGCTTTAGTCATGGAAAACTCAAAACTCCTTTTAATGAGCTGGGGACATCATGAATGAAGTTGGTGCATTTTTCCTTTTGTTTCGTTGATCTCGTTTTCTACAGTCGAGGCATCTTCTCAGTGTAAGAAAGATGTCTGTCGAGTTGCAACCTACGCCTGACGCGCGCTCAATGCGCTCAGCGCCGCCTACCGATGATGAAGAGGGCAACAACTTGATCCAGACTCTCCCGCCGAGTGACAAGGGCACGGAGGCATGGAAATTCCTCTTTGCGAGTTTCATTGTCGAGGCAGTTCTCTGGGGTACTGTCACTTAAGCCCAAATGTCAGCCCGCTTTTGACTAACATTGACAGGTTTCCCCCTGACGTTTGGAGTCTTTCAGGATTACTATTATTCCCATCCCAAGTTCGAAGGCAACCCAAATATCGCTGTCATTGGCACGGTGTCAACAAGTATCTACTTCCTCGGAGCACCTATTGCTGTGCCCTTGGTTGGCCGCTTCCACGCCTGGCAAAGACACATGGTTGTTGTCGGCTGGGCTATCTGCGTTGCATCCCTTGTTGGGGCGTCCTTCTGCGACTCAGTCGTCGGTCTCATCGCTACACAGGGCGTCATGTACGGGGTCGGCTTTCTGCTGCTGTATTTCCCCGTTCTGCGCATGCTCAACGAGTGGTTTGTGGCCCGCCGTGGTTTTGCCTATGGCGTCCTCTTCGCCGGCGCCGGATGCAGTGGTGTCGGTCTGCCGTTCTTGCTTGAGGTGCTCTTGTCCAAGTATGGCTTCCGCACCACTTTGAGATCGGTCGCCGTTGCGGTGTTCATCTTAGTGCTCCCGGTCCTGCCAATGATCAAGGGACGCCTTCCGCCCTCGCACCACGGTGCTCTGCGCATGTTCGACGTGAGCTCTTTCAAGCAGCCTCTTTTCTACTGCTTTGCTCTGTCCAACTTGTTCCAGGGGTTTGCCTACTACATCCCCTCACTGTATCTCCCCTCATACGCTTCTGCTATCGGGCTGTCTGGAACGATGGGCGCTTTGCTTCTGGCTGTTTACAACTTGGCGACCGTGTTCGGACAGGTCGGATTCGGCTGGTTGTCGGACAGAACGCCTAACATCCTCATTCTCATTTTCATCTCTTCGTTCGTATCATCGGTCTCAGCGTTCACTATTTGGGGATTTGCTCACTCCTTGGAGCTTCTCGTGGTGTTCGCGCTCATCTTCGGCATGTTCGCCGGCGGTTTCCCCGTCTTCTGGGCCAAGTTTGGCGCCATCCTTTCCGACGATCCAGCACCTGTGTTCAGCATGATGGCGTTCACAAAGGGCATTGGCAACCTTGCTACCGGTCCCATCACTGCTGGTCTCTTGACCAAGCCGGTCAGCTCGGGTTATGGAATGGGGCGATACGAATCGTTGGTTCTCTTCGTTGGCTCCTTCATGCTGTGCTCCTCTATGGGCATTCTCGGCTGGCCACTGAAGAAGGTCACCGTCCGTTCCTGAGACCGGAAAGTCAATGGTGTAGTTGGGTTTAGGAACACATAAAAGTCACTCTTTCATGATGAAACTCGCGCGCTCGGGTTGTAAACTTATAGCCAATTACAAGAATAAGATGAATGCAAGTTGCAACCCATTGTACCCAGCCTCGGCGAAAGCCGCATTTGATATGTGCTTTTTTAAGTCTGGACTTATACCCTATTCCGCAAAATACGAGTTGACATTAGAACCTTCGTGCATTGTCTTGGCCGCGGCTGGGTAGAAAGGTAGTTATATTGCCAAACTGGAAACCTGACTCAGTCTCGAGCGTTTGACAAGGGACGTCTGAGCATATTCTCTACCTCAACCCAATCAAATTCCTTTACATCATCGGACTCGCCCCATCCAAGAATGTAGAGCAACCAGATAATATTTTTAAGGTGTGCGCCCTAGATAGGCCCAAGACCTCAAGGCCTTGGCTTCTCTCGAACCCGCAACTAGCCTAAGGCCCCGAGGAGCAAACGTCGCGTGATTATTGTAGTGATCGGCAAACACCTAAATGAACCATCTGAGAATAGTTTTAATTACGACAATGCCAATCTTCAATTTCAACTCTATCTACGTTTGTCAGGATATAAGAAAACCTGTTCACCTTCGTTCCCAGAGTGCCCCGTAAACACCGCGATAATTCTCAATTACCTCATCCCAGTAGTATCATTCTCGACAAAACTTCTGTCGACATGAAGTTTGATCAAGCCATCGCCGCTTTCGTCTCTCTGCTTGCAGTTTCGACATTTGCCCAAATCACGCCAGTAACCTGTCAGAAGGAAACTGTGAGCTGTGTAAGTAAGCCAATACATTACCTTGGGCATTTCAGCTGACCGTCAAGCAGGCTGGAAATGAGGACTGTAACGCTAAAGGTTCGCCTGGTGGCTTTCCTTGCCCAGCAGGCTCTGGCCAGAATGATGCGGACTGCTGGATCGCTACAAATGCAGGCGGCGTCGCATCAAGCGTGAGCGTAAGTCGCAACTCTCCGTGGACAAAGTTATGTGCACCCCAACTAACATTTGACGTAGTGCTGGTGCTGCAGACCTCAGTCATGAGCCGTAATTAGCCTGGGATTTAGACATACTCTGGCGCATCTGGACATGGATTGAAATACACATAGTAGCACGTCAAGCAGATGCAAATGCAACTTGAACATTATGAATTCTTCTATCTTGCTTCTAGGGTATATCGAAGGATGCGATTAAAGGATTACGTGAACAGACTCGAGTACCTCGTCTGACTTCATTATAACTGAGATTGGCAACCTAGCACAACTTTGAAGTTGCGGCTACTTGGCCACCTCAGGCTCGGGGGTCGACCTGTTTGCAGAGGTAATGGTTTCTCCCAAAGGTCTCTTGAAGAAGACGTTTCTTTCCCAGCCATCGATCTCATCGACGACAGTCTCACGCACCAGCTCGTACTTGCCGATCTTCGGCAGAATCTTGGCCCATACAACCCAGTAAAGACCACCTGCAACAATGATGGCGATGCCGACAACACAGTGAAGGTAGTAGGGAAGGCTCTCGTAGACGTTCTGGCCCTCCTCGGGAGGAACGAAGGGAGCAATGACGAGGTAGACGTTGCTGAGCATGAAGAAGATGACGACGGGAAGACTGGCGCTGATGGGCGGGTTCCAGTTCCACTCCTTGCGGTTGAGGTAAAGGTAGGCCAGGCCTCCGGCGACGAAAACGTTGATGACAGCAAGGGGGTCTGTTGGAGGGTTAGCGTCAATCCATGGTACGATATGGTTGATCAAGGGAAGAAACTTACAGCTGATGAGGTTAAGGATGAAGTTGTAAGCGTCTCCCGGAGGAGGAGCGAGCATCGTGATGACGCAGATAAGCCAGTGCTCGAAGAGACCAGCCAAGGGAGCGTTCAGGGGCTTGTTGCTGGCAAAGAATCGAGAGAATGGCAGGATACCCTCGCGACCGAGTTCTTGAACGAGACGACCCTGGGAGAAGATAACGCTGAGAACGTTGCCGTAAGCAGACAGGGCGACGAACACCGAGAGAGCACGCTCTGCGGTACCACCCATGACGTTGCGGAAGAGGGAGGCAGCGACCAGACGGCCACCCTCAAGAATCTCCTGCTTGGGAACAGCGGCGAAGTAGGCAATGTTGACGAGCATGTAAAGAATCGAGATGGTGATGATACCGGCAGGCGCGGCAATCTTGAGGGTGCGAACGGGGTTCTTGGTCTCGCTGAGGGCGTAGTTGGCGTTGCTGTATCCAATGTAACTCCAGATGACGTTGTACAAAGCTGTCACAACTCCATAAGCGCTGCCAGTGGTGCCCTCGAAGGCATTGCGGAAGTTATGAGGCTTCTGGTCCTCGGGAAGCTTGACGTGGCCTCCCAGGGCAATGAATCCACACAGAATGATGATCAGGATGATGATCAGCTTGATCGAACCAAGGAGGTTTTGCAAGCGCAGACCCCACTTTAGCGCAAGACCGTGGATCAAGAAGGCGGAGGTGATGCATGCCAGACCAATGCCGCGCTGGTTCCACCGGTCAACCTCAACGTTAGCCGCGTGGAGGATGTACTCGCCGAAGACGACAGAGTTACCACTGGCCCAACCGAGGAGGATGACATATCCAGTGTACAGACCAGTGGTCAGGAACTTGGGACGGCGATAGACGTATTCGAGGTAGTTCTTCTCACCACCGTTCTTTGGGATAGCAGTTCCCCATTCGAGGTAGACGGCGGTTCCGGCAAGAGCGATAATCATGCCAGCGACCCAGATGAAGAGCGACAAGCCGACACTGCCAGAGAGGCTGAGAATGGAACCGGGAGTAGCGAAGATACCGGTACCAACGACACGGTTAACGATCAGGAAGATGGCGGTGGTGACTCCGATTTGTCGCTTGGCTTCACGCGCGTGCTCGATTCGACCTGCAGTTCAACAGTCAGCAAGGTTCTAAGGCGCCAACGACGCAGTAGGTGAGAATTGCAACCTACCAACTTCGCTGTCATAGGTGGGCGCGGCAGGGAGATCGCCATCTTTGTTGCCGCCCTCGGCGGAGGACGAGCCACCGCCATTGAACCTGTTCAAGAGCTTGGACATGTTGGCGATTCTGATCTTGGCCGTCCTTGAGTACGCGAAAGACCAGAGACCCGAGGGTTGTTGATGCACTGGAGACAGGAGACGGAAGAGGATCCGAGCATCAGGGTCAGATTAGAAGGCTGTCAGAAGGTTTTATGTCTGGACGTGACACCCGTGGGAGGGCCCCGCCAAGCGGATCACGTCTTAGAGACACCGAATTGGCGCCATGTGGCGAGAGGATATGTATGGCCGTCTGCAGTTCTTGGAGGGTGCATTGCAAGTTCGAGCCAAAATCTTGGAGGGTCCCAAGGATCTTTGCAGGGATCAAGGGGTGAGAGAAAGCGTTGCAGGCTCTCAAAAAGATCCGCAAAAGAGAGGCTGCCCGCGTTGTTCCGAAAGTATGCGCGATTCTTTAGAGCCGCCTAGACCCAGAAATTGCAGCAACTGTCAGGACCCCCAAAGCACCCCAGGCAAAGTCGAGCGCAGTCAGGGGAGTGACACCAGGGTGTCTTGTCCCAGTGGTCTGGTGCGAGGAGTTCTGTGTCATAGTTTCTGTTTGTGGTCCACAGCACCGATGACGCGATCAGAGGTGAAGATGTCGAAGTGGGAAAATTTTAGCTGGGACCCAATTAAATCCGGGGGGCGTTGGGGACAACCTGTGTGACTCTGGCGGGACACAACAACGACATTACTGTTGCTGGTAAGATGTTTTTGCCAAGAGTCACGCATAAGCAGTAGGAACTTCCTATTTTTCGTGTTCTCGGTACGAAAGAAGCGTGGTGAGACTTACCTCGCTTCTCAAGAATCACGTTCTTCTTGGTCCTACAGTTCATGTCGACCCCCAAGCTATCTTCACATGCCCTGCTCTCGGCGGCAATGTGACTTGTCTCGATTGGCCGAGCGCAAGCTGCCAAGGCCATCAAAAGTTCGTTCACTCAGCCATCAATAGCTTCTCTTGGCCTCAAGAATGCCTAGCTGGGTTGGAGGAAACCTGGTGTGCACGGTGAACGCACTCTTTCTGGTCTTTCACACCCACGATCGCTCGATCTGAAGCGTTTGCAGCTCGGCCTACGAGTCGTTTTTCCATATCATGGCATAAACACAAACAATGATATCTCATGAGAATTCCGAGTTTCCCAATGTCTTGAGCATAGCTTCAGAATTGAGTGACAGGAAGTAATAGCTATTTCACCGCACCCTTATGGAGTCTACCTTGACAGCTTCGGCAGTACAACGATAGACACAGATTTCACTCTGGGATATTGATCAAGCCACCTCAACCTGACATGACAAATACCACCCAGTGCGCAGGCATCGGTCAGATGCCTCAAGGTCAATTGCATGGCCCACGAGATGTCACTGAGAACTCTAGTACACCACCATCGGCTGCAACCGAGTTCTAGGCTGCATCTTTCACCAGGAAGCTAATCCTCACCCCACGCCGACTTCAGGGGTAAAGGCTCTAAAGTCAGAATTTGCGGACTCACGGTTGATGATTCGACTCATCAGCATCCTACTGAGCACCAGCTGAAAAGTCTTGCCTGACATCGCCTCGAAGTTGTGTTACGCGATTGACGGACGAATGGACGAGATGGGAAAGGCGATTACTCCCATTTCTTGGGTCCTTCCCGATGTGATGTCTCGGCTTCATGAAGTCATAATAGCCAACATCGCGTGATAGCGCCAGTGAGCCGTCGACAAGCGCCCTCTCAGGCAGGCGTCAGGCGCTTTTAACCGAGACAAAAAGTCTCGCCCGACAACTTAAATAAAGTCAGTGGGGGTACGGAAACTCGCATGGATGACAAAGCTGCATTGCGTACCGCCTGCGATGACAGCTGTGGTGGTCATTTGGACACCATGCCATTGAAGTGCCCCAATAAGTTGAGTGAGAATCACGCGTGAAACTGATAAAAGCGATACTACAGCAGTCATAAGAAGATGTTTCAAGGCCTATGGTCAATGCTGGTTGCTGAATCTCATGGATCATCTGAGAACCGGCTGCGTTCGAGGATGAAGGGAACCCGATGCTGTATGATTCGTGCGGATCACGTCGCGCTTTCCCATTAAGAAGTCACGGTTCTCCCCTCAATAATGTGCAGGTTTATGTAAAGGCACCTCATAATACGATGACGCCTAGGGCCCGCAAAATTGTCACTCCGGGGTTGACTTTCAGATAAGGGAGATTCGCATCTGTCGACCTCCTGTGTCAAGAATGCTGCTACCCAATGCCCCGGTTTCTCCCCAACCCTCCCACCAATCTGAACCACATCATCCGGTCAACTGGATAAAGTGCTGCATCGTTCCCTGTCTAGCGGCAGCGGGTCAAGGGTGCTGCAGCTTTATCGAAGTGAACCGTTACCGCGGGCCGTGCCGCCACGAGGCGCTCCGATCTTTCGGAGGTCTCAACCGAGATAGATTGCCACGCGCGCCCTAAGGCGATTTCACCCACCTGTGGAACGTTGTAGATCGTTTGTAGAACTTCTTAACTACAATTGGTACTCTTTCGCGAATTGTAGTTCGCCCATCAGGTAGGAGGCAACAGATGGCCGCTTTGTGACTGCAGATGCGGTTGTAGACGTCTCTCTTCGTATCTGTAGAGAGGACAAAGACAGCATCGCATACATCGACCCTTCGGTCGCACAGCGATACAAGAATCAACGACTACGGCATTGAATCACACCAGGTTCTCGATTTTTGAGAATACGACGTTTCGCAGCGCCATGCCAACATGGAAGATGCATATTCTCGTCCGGATGCAGAAGAGCATGCAAGGAAGAGTGGGTAATTGCGCTCCGGTTTTCGGAGACAGTCCGTTACCCCGGACTTCATTTCTTCCTAGCTGCGGAGAAGTTTCCGCCATCGCTCGCGGGATTCGAGTCACTAAACCGGGGTGAAACCTGCAAAGAAAAACTTCCGAGGAGCACGCCGTGAGTTGGGGTCGAAGAAGCCATTCTGATTCAGCTGCGATATCACCCACCCGCAATCTCATGGCCCGAAATGCGACATCACCCC